CCTCCCGAGTGCTGGGATTAAAGGCATGTGCCACCAACGCCCGGCGAGATTACAGGTTTATAGCAACATTATTTCCTAAATGCATATTCATGACTAACAAGAAAAGATTTGGGGATGGGGGTGGGGGAACTGTGGAGAGATGGCTCAGGGATTAAGAGCACTGGCTTCTTTCTCTTCCAGAGGACCCAGGTTCAATTCCTAGCACCCACAACTCACAACTGCCAGTAATTCTAGTTCCAGGGGTCTGACCCCCCCTACACACACAGGCTAAACACCAATGCACATTAAATAAATAAGTAAATAAATAAATAACAAAACAATAAAAGATTTTTCTAAGATCATTTAACAAAAAGATAGGTTTTTTCCTAACGGATGGTTGTTAGCTCTCTCTCCCTGTCCCCCTCCCCCTCTTCCCCTCTCCCCATCTCCCCCCTTCTCTGTGTGTGTGTTAGAATACACATAAATGAGTCCCATGTCCTGTACCTAACTAACACAGAATGTTTTTCCTAACAGGTCTTGGTATCTTGATGGACAGACACTACTACTCATCATCTGTGTTGGCATTGTGTTTCCGCTTTCACTGCTTCCCAAAATAGGTAAGTCTGTGAAGAAACACAGGATTTGTTTGCTGGGGGGGGGGATGGTGCAAGAGAGGGAGTGAACAGAGAGTAGCAGGCTTTTAAGCTTCACACAGTGCCTTGTTTTTAGAAGAGTGGTGGCTGCAAATCATTTAAACTTGGCCTATTTTCAGTTGCTCGGTCCTCAGCCCTGCCTAGCTAACTTAACACTTGGCTTGTGGTAGCATTTTGTCTGCCCCACTAAAATGGAGTTGTTACACCAGAGCATTAAGGAGCAACCTTCTCTTGCAGCACACTGCTAGTGGCAAGCCAGTTCCCGTTCTGCTGTGCAGAGCTGCATAATGATCTGTGACAGACGGGCCCTAGGCCCAGATACCAAGCTGCAATCGGAAACATGCCCACGATGCATGGCCCTGTTTGTGCGTCAGGATCACTTGCCCTATAAATTGCTTTTTATTTTATTGGTATTTTACAGGCTTTCTTGGCTACACAAGCAGTTTATCATTTTTCTTTATGGTGTTCTTTGCTCTTGTGGTAAGTTTAAAATATAATACATTGCTTATTCCATCGCAAAACTGCAACTGTATTAATCACATCTTTTAACGGCTTTGTGCTGGGCACAGTAGCCCATTTTATATTCTTAAAAGCACTGTTCTTTGTTTTGTTTTGTTTTTTTTTTTTTTGCAAACAATTTCGGTCATAGGATTATTCATTTTGTCCATTTTAAAAAAGCTTAAAACAACATTTTAAGTTTAGTGTCTTGTGCTTAGCAGAGAGGGACGAAGAGCCCTTCTGTTAAGACTCTGGGTGGAATAGGCCACTGGATAGCATAGCACTCCTTGGAGAAGCAGGAGGGCTGTGCTCTGTACAGTCAGTTAACACAGCACTTCCTGAAGCTTTATTCCATTACTGAAGTGATGGGTTCTCAGACTTGATAGCAAAGGAGAGCTGGGTGTGACTGCAGCCCTGTCCAGTCTGCTTACTCAACGTAAGTGTTCTCATAGACATAGTATTGGGAGTCATTTGTTTTCATATGCAGAAAATGTTTTTTTGTTTTTTTGGTTTTCGAGACAGGGTTTCTCTGTATAGCTTTGGA